TCGTGCGAATGAGCCCCTCAACACGAATTTCAACTGCTTGGGTCAATACGAATATCTCATTCCTGCCTGTGGACCGGTAAATGCATTAGTAATGCTTCTTCAAGAATGGAAAACGAAAAGGCAAGACCAGGTACCAATAACTTGAAAGTTTATGATGTCAAACTGATGCATTCGCTGAAGCTTTCGCACTCTCGATTTATTGCTGCTTTGCCCCACAAGGATTCACTGCGATGTGCCCTTGGGTCGCTTGGAATACATTTGATAGACCGCTTTAACTGGAGAAATAATGCAAAAGATGAGTTTCCCAACTTTAGCCTTGGTAAGCTTTCAAGATTAAGTGACAGACACATTAAAGATTTTGAAGGTTCGAATGGACTCCAGTCGGTCCTTTTCCCAAGTCAGGAAGATCCAACCAAGCCGATGGCGAACTCAACAGCAAATAGAAATATGAAGAAAGCCAACAAAGCAGCAGATATTGAAACAAGTGTGGTTCTTCACGCTGGGCGAAAAGTTTCCGCGTTTCAGGCCATCAAGCGTGGTGCATCACCACAAGCTGTCGCAGATATGGCTGGTTGGGCCCAAAACACAGTTGGAGAGAGGAAGTACTATGGGCAAATACCACAATTTCCTGTTCTTGTTGCGTTTGCTGGATTTGATTTGTCTGAGCCATATTTGGTCCCTCGAATCTACGCAGTCCCACCAGTTGAACTCGAAAAATCTGTTTTAAGTAAATTTTGGATGATGTGTTCACCAGTGGAAGAGAAGTCAGTCCACGAACTGCACTCGCAGCATTGAAATTATTGCGAAGGTCTGCCCTGCAGGTATGTGGTGGTTCGATAATTGAGGCCTCACCAACTATTTCAAGACTCTGGCTTCTTTGGATTACAAAGGAATCATTCCACGGGAACACTACTGCCGGAAATGCCTTCCATTCATTCACCCTCAATGGAAAAGTTTTGTCGGCCTTGTAAAGTCAAAGGAAACAGCCCCCATCGTTGAGCTTCCTGATGGACGACTATTCCCAGATGGCTGTGCCAAAGTGAGAATCTGAGGTTTTGTTTGAGTAATTAAACTTGCAAAAGGTGGACCCTGCTTTACTCCTAGTCATGAGCCACTTTGCTCAACTTTCCAACAAAACTCTTTTGGCTGTCAAGAAATGCTTGGCCATTGCTCAGAAGCAAAATGAAGACATTGCTGTGCTTCAAAAATCTTTTGTGGACTTTTCCCAAAGAACTTTTGAAAACTTCAGAGCTATCAGAATGGAGCAAGAAGAGATGAAAAGTCGGATATTTCAAGCTGGATATCCTCAGAATGTTTCTCGAGGACACAGTTTGTCTCATCCGTCAAGTCCAAAAACCCCCACAAGAACTCCTGTTCCAATAAGAGCCCCAACTCAGTTTCAACATCCAGCAACTCCTCACTCGGATCACCAGACTCCACGCAAAGGCTCATCACTGCACGCAGCAGAGCAAGTTAGTTGCTGTTCCTTAATGTTTCTTTCCTGGTTAACAGTCTGTTCTTACAGTTGGAATTAAATAATCCTAAACAAAATCTAAATGCCTCCGGAGCTGAGTTGCTGAGAGGATCACCCACTCCAGCACCCCCTGAGAGACACTGACTTCGGGACCCGTTCGATAATTTTGCGGATGAGTATAGGCAGATTTCGACTCAAGATACAGTGAGAGCCCCCGCACCTTTAATTGTACAGTCTAGCGGCAACAAAGATGTCAAGCACAATCAAGATGGCCTTAACATTTTATGGCTGCAAATCACGCAGAAATGTCTTCCAGATTGGGCTTTGCAGGACGGATGCGGGGGACTTCATTCGCGAAGTTTTTATGTTTCAAAGGAGTCTGATGAACAGCTAACATATGTCCTATTTCCGGGTTCGCTTGGATCCAAGCGGCAGTGCTACCCAGTCTATCAAATCTACTTTGAAGCGAAACCCTCGCTATACGATATTACAAGCCAGCCAAATTGGATTGAGTTGATCAAGGTTTGGCGATGGGAAGGTGGAAAGATAAAAGAAGTTGGAACAACAGCCGCTGTTCAAACATTTATCTCGAAACTTGGCACAATTGCAAGGCAAATACAACAAGTTCAAATTCAGCGAACGATATCCCCTCAGCGAGCAGCAGCTATTTTGGACCAATCTGGGCCGAACTGCAGCAAAATATTTGACGCTTTACAGTTTGCTAAGGAATTTTCAAACGTTCGAGCACAAGCACAGGATACCCCTGATGCGAAACGAAAACTCCGAGAACGAAAGTCTGCAGAGAAGCCTGGAAGTTTGCTGGAGACAGAGCTGTCTTCAAAGAGAAAGTCGAAGGCAAAGGCAGATGACCGCTTGCAGAAAAAAGCTCGACCGAATGGGAAGCAAAGGGAGTTTTCAGAGGACTTCATGAACGTAATTGTCGACATACACAAGCACACAACCAGTGCAGATTTGTCGGGCCCACTCCCAAGCACTGAAGGGACTTAAAATTATGCAGTCGCTGTTGAATAAAGAAATGAGTTGTGATGGAATAGAGAAAAAAAAATTGTCTGAATTGTTTTGAAGATGAAACCAACGATAGCGAGAGCCCCAAAGCAACAAGGGTGGCAGCGTAAGCCTTCGAGAGTCCCAAATCAACAACGGCGGCAGCTTAAGCCTACGAAGTTCTCAGACTTCTGTAAGTGTGCGTGGTTTCATAATGCGACAAATACTAAACAAATGCTTCAGATGTTTCACTCGATCAGACTCACGCAATTCTCAAGAGCATTTCTTCAAAAATTGGAGCAACCCCAACCTCCGGCACCACGAAAGCGGCGTACTTCGAAGCTATTAAGGCTGCTTTGAAGGGTAGCGCAGATTTTCAGCCCCAACTGGCGAAAGCAACAATCATTGTTGGTATCGACGTCGGGACAAAGAACCTTGGGTATTCTGTTTTAAAATCCAATCCGTCAACACCGAAGGAGGGCCCGTTGACGACATTGGTTGATAAGCTAGGCTCTTTTGAATTGGTGCATTACGGAGTGATGGCTGTCTACGATCTTCGAAATACCACTGACCGGCTGCAGCAGATCTCGAAAATTCGAGAAGCGTTGGCTCAAATTGAACTGCAAGTGCCAAACGCGTGCCGAGGGCTTCCGCGCGCATATATACTTGAACGGCAGCAGTGGAGACATGATCGAGCGACGCAGTATATTTTTGTTAAACTGATCGAAATGGAAGTTTCAATTCTGTCCATTTTGAAGGAAAGGTACTCGAAAATGGCGAAGCAGATTTCTGTTGGGAGTATAGGCTCTCTCAAAGTTTCGAACGACTGGAAATGCTGGCTTTCATCAGTGGCTGGATTTAGTGAACTGGATGATCCCAAAGAAGTGAAAGAAGAAGTCGTCAAGGACGAAGAGAACGAGGACAATGAGAAACCCCATGCTACTCGAAAGTCAGGGACACAGAAGCAGAGGACCGCTCAAAGGCGATTAAAGAAAAATGCGGAGGCAGTTGTAGAAGAGATTGAACCTGAGATTGACAGTGCTTGTGCGAATCCCATGCTTCAGACACAGAAACGGCCAACTTCTCGACAGAGGTCCAACAAAAACGCAGATACAGCTTCTTCTAGCAAAAGTTTGCAATTGGACAATGCTCGACGAGCGGCCAAAAAAAATGTAACCAAGAAGGTGCTGCCAATCCTCGTTCAAGAGAGGGTACTTCAGGGACTGGACCTTTCAGTCGGATTGAAGCACGATTGGTGTGATTCAGTCCTACTATCAATTGCGTGGTGCCAACAGGAAAAGGAACGAGCAAGGCTCTATTTTTGATAAGAGTGTGGGACGTCAACCTAGAAGGATATCCTTTGTCAACTTAGGTGAAGTCAAACAAAACAGCAAGGAAATAGAAATAATTGAAACAATTGTGCGTGCGAAGAAGAAGCCATTACAGGCGGTGTCACGCTAAAGAAGAGCATGACAGCGCGTACAATGGTAATCTTCCTGCAACATTAAGGCTGTGATAACCCGGAGCGATGGAGTTAAAAATGAGAAGAAAGCAAAGACAGCAATTCTGCAGCTTGATTTCCTCGAAGCGTTGCACCCCATCATGCCGCAGCATTCACATCGCAATTCCGCTCCAAAAGCCGCTGAGGGCGACGGAGAGTCACCATCACCAATACACGGAGAATGGCATTGATGGTGCTGGTGATATGGTGCGATGCTTTAAGTCTTGCTGCAAACCCCTTCCAACGCAGTGAAGCATCGATTGCATGCCCTGGCAATGACAGTGGCAAACCAATCTTTGGGCAATTGGGAACCAACACGAGGGTAGGTGGTGCGGCTCAAAGGACGGCTGCGGCAGGGACAATGCGCGGCACCCACTTGGGCGAGGGTGAGGTGTGTCGAGCGCACGATGTGACAGGAGGAAACTTGATTTAAGCAGAATGTGCGTGATGGTTGCAATTGACGTAGGTAGTGGTGGAGGTTGTCCTTGTCGACGGATCTGATTAGGGGTCGACGGCGAAGAGGAAGAAGTTAATTGTGCTGAAACAGATTCAGGATGGTATTTGCCATTGCACAGCCTGCCACAACACCTGCCAGAGCTTGAGTTGATCGCTGAGAGAAGGATGGTGTCGCGCTCATCTTCGTTTCAGGTGTTGCAAAGAAGGTGCTGGTCTCGCGTGAAGGGTGAGCGTGGAGGACAGTGCGGACAGACCAGACGCAGGAGAGGAAGATGATCGGACCGTTTCGGCGTGTGACGAGCGAGAGCGCCGCCATCGCTGCGGTGCTGGTGTATGCGCGAGGACGCGTCGTTGTGCCAGACGAGGGCGAGGCAAAACGGCGAGCCAGCGGCACGAGTGGGCTGAGACCGGGGGACGAGAAAGCGGTGGTGGAAGGTTGAGCGAGAACCATGCTCTGGTGGGTGTGGTTTGACATGACAGGGGTGGAGGCGCAATTAGTGGAATTAGTGGAATCTGTTTTCTGGCATTTTCTCGTCAATTGATTTTCCCTTTTCCCGGTGCCACTAATTGAATGCGGAAAAGAACCGGGGTCCCCAGAATCAGAATCTGATGTGATAACCCCTACACTATGCAGCCAAGTGGTAGGGATTTGATAAGGCGGTTCTAAAACCACCAATTTGTCCTCTCCTGCGTGACAAGTCACCCAGCTGCTAAAATCGCTCAAAGTTTTCATTTGTTCTCCAACACCTACTGGGGCACTACACCACCAAAACTTCGATTGTCTGCAGTGATGCTAATCTCTGAATTCTGATTTCTCAACTTCTCTTTCTGATGGTTTTACTGATTTTCCTGAAACTGACAACTCTCCTTTTTTTTGAACCTGTTGAGCCACCACATGACTCTTACTGTCAGTTATCCAACTCTCCGCCTGACGGTGCTCCCTCCTCTTGTACTTGCCAGCAACTGCACCAGGCTTCCAGGAGAGGACAGCTGCCATCATCATCAACAAACACCTCAGATCAACCTCCAACTATTCCCCAAGATTTGGAATAGGAAGATGACGACGACTGTTGCTGGAACCCTGACAGATTTGCTGTCATCCTCGACGAAGATGATTATGAACCCGAAGAGAGCCTATCTCCAACAGCAGACTGCATAGCTGCATCCATCAATACCGATCCAGAACCTGTCATTGAATCACCACTTCCACCATCCGTCATTGTCAACATCAAAAATGCACCAACTGGACTCTGCAAGCTACTTGCAAATCGAAAAATCTCTCACCATCTCTTGCAACTGCCAGAACTGTGCTTCCCGAAGTGTTCTTCCAAAGAGCCAATTCACCAGTCACAACAACCACCAGCACCACATTCCCACAAGGAAGCCCATGCATCAGACCACAACAAAGAATGGACTGCGTCTGAGCTTCAGGACATTCACTTTCCCATGGATGAGCACAAGGTCTGGGAATGGGTAGTTCTTCCTCCTGGCAAGCACGCAATGTTCTGCAAATTGGGTTTATGCCTACAAGCTTGATCCTTTTGCCTGGCTGAAGTGATGAAAAGCCTGACTTGTCCCATGCGGAAAAGCCCAACGCAAAGGCATTCACTACACAGGCACGTTTTCTCCTGTCGTCCAGATCTAGGACATGTGACTGCTCATTGCCATCCGTCTTGCTTTTGACCTTGAGTACCACAGCATGGATGTTGCCCCTCCAAGTCTGCCCGATGCTTTTTTTTTGTTTTAAAAGTTGGATTCAAGGTCCTTTTTTTCACTTTTTTTTTCTCCTGGACGACAACAAAAGAAGCCCATTTGTTTCTTATTTTTGAGGGATCTGACTGGACGGTTCTGCAAGCAACGTGGATTCCCCTCTTTCTCTTGTTTCGTTTCCAGGCCTTCCTTTTACAAAATCGCTTTCGTACGCCCCCACCCCTCCTCTTTCAGACAAAGAAGAGAAAAGGGTGAGAGAAAAGATGGGCGTGGGGTGCCTTTCCTTTTCCCTGGAAAACGAAGAAAAAAAAAAAAAAAAAAAAAAAAAAAGAGGGAGAGAAAGGAGAGCGCGCACAACACGAAACAAAAAAAGGGAAAAGGAGGATGCGAAAGGGAAAAAAAAAGAACGAGAATGAGGAGGGGTGCGGGTGTGTGAGTATCCCCGAATAGAGTGAAAAAAAAAGTAGTCCCCCCCCCACCCGCGAAAGCCCGCGCACCCCCCCGTCCCGACATCACCCGCTCCTCGCCGCAACACCGCCGCCGCGCGCCCACTCCCCAACCCACACCCACGCCTCGCCGACCGCGGGCGGCACCGTCCACCCCAGGTGCTGGCCGGGGCCGGCGCCCACGACGCTTGCGACCGCCCACGCGGCCGCGGCGACGGCGGCGACGACGGCGGCGAGGAGGGCCAGGAGGACGACAACGATGATGGCGGCGTTTGCGGCGGACTCGGCGCGGCCGGCGAGGGAGCGGTGCGGGCCGGCGCTGCGCGGGCGGGTGACGAGGACGCCGTTGGCGGTGCGGAGGTCGTGGGCGTGGATCCAGCGGGCGATCTGATTTTTTTTTTTGTTGTGGTTGCAGTGCGCGCGTTGCGTGGTTTGATTAGTGCTTAAGGTCGCGACCTGCCAAAAAAAAAAAAAAAAAAAAAAAAAAAACAAACCCGCCCCCCAAATGAGCAAAACAAACTCACATCCGCGCACACGGTCGCCATCTCCCAAAACGAGTCGTCCTTTTCGTTCCCCTCCTTGACCCTCTCGGCACGACGGGGTTGTTGAAACCCATGTTGTTTGGCAGGTCGAACGCGCGGGAGCCGCGCTGCGGCGCAACCTGGAGCAGCGGGTGGGACTCGAGGCCCGTAGCGACAAAGAGGCCCGTCAGGCCGAGGCCGACGAGGCCCGCGACGTAGTGCGTGTAGAGGTTGTAGTCGTCCATGGACTCTACGGATAGGCCCGGTTCGCAAAACTCTGCCATGCCGGCGCCCATGCGGCGGGTGATGTCTGTAATGACGTCGCGGTAGGGTTTGTCGAGGCGGAGGAACTGGTCGATGACGGCGTCAAACTGCTCGAGGAGGAAGCGGTCCTGTGCCGCATGTGGCACAAGTGGCGCCAACCCTTAAAGGGTTAAGCAACGGCCAGTCGTTCTCCCCCGTAGTCTCACCGTCGTCCTCAATGTCAGCTTCACAAACAGCTGCCATTCTCTAGCAAACTCCCTTCCCGATGAGCACTGATGAGATTCACCCCAACACCTTTTTCGTGACCTATGAGCCGAAGTTTGGTGCGAAGCAAGCCAAAAATGTTCTTACTGGTGACATTGCCACTGCTACTCTCCAGCCCCTAAAGGAGGAGATTGTGGCAACCTTTGATCACCCAAGAGTACGGATGGAGACCATCTGAGACCTGACATTCAAGCACCCTCGCCGACCTGCTAAGACTGATACGCACCCTCTGGTTACCTGCGGACATGGCACGTTTTGAGACGCAGTTTCCAGCAGCAACCTCAAAAAGTCCTTTTAGGCGCTCAGATTCACATCCATCTCCGTCACATCGGGCCCCCATGCGTCCTCCGCGCCCACTAAACATGTGTGTACTGATAGTCCGAAGCCGCCCAAACGCATCAGACTTGAAGAAACTTCCGATTTGGACGAGGGCTTTGACATTCACAGAGCACTCACAATTGTTGATCGTTTTGATCAGGAAAACCTTCCCGCTGCGTCAGCTTTGAGCTCATTGGGTCGCGCCCGGCAGGTCAATTGCAACGGCACAGCGCTGAACCCTCTCCGTGAGCTTGATCGCAATCGTGCAGAGCAGGATGAAATGATGGAAGACTTGTATGAGCGTTGGGGATTGCCTGGCAAGCGAATGGGTTTGACTTCGTTTCAAAGAACGGCGTCATCCTACCTGTCAACCATGCTAAGGTCCATCAGTGGGCAAAAGCAATCGTAAGCTCCGTAGTGAACCAAGATGCTACTTCTCAGGTGCCTCCCCCTTGCTTCTTCCAGATACATAAGGATTTTGACGCCATTCTTGATAACCCTCCAACCAACTACGGGTTTTGTGCAGATTCGCGAAAGCGAGTCAAGACTCAGGACAATCACCAACCACCCCCATACCAGCTGATTGCCCCTCCACCCATCACGATCAACATGACCACCCCTGTGCCTGTTCCTGTAACCGGCCATCCTGCTGATCAGTTCGAAACCATCAAGTTGATGATGAATGCAATTATGGAGGAGGGCGACCATCACATTTACTTCGAGCAGCTTCGAAAGGAACGCATCACTCTTAGCTCTTTGAAGCGTTGGGGCCCCTAGATTTGCATCGTATTGGTATGTACGGCTATGTGGCTCAGATGGCTAAGAATTGATTATGTCTTAAGGGTTGATGTCTTTATTGATTGTGTCAATTGGTGTAGCCTGCATGGCGAATAAAGCCCTTTGCCTTCTCTCAAGTGATTACATCCCACAACATCAGCAGTAGGTCGTGCCGATCGTACAGATCATTGAGATACGTTTCAACCCTCCAAAACTAAGCCTTGATGACAGAAAAAGCCTCTTCAATCGGATTCAAAAACGAGCAAAAGGATGGGAGGTAGATCAGTCGCACACCACGCTCAACACATTCAATGTCCACAGGCTCATCATGACGGATACGAGCATTGTCCATGATGAGGGTTTGGCCCTCCGCCATTGTTGGAAGCACAACATTGACACTCAATTCAACAAGTAACTTGGCGTACGATGCGCCATCAACAGTGAGCTTTGCCTGAATCCCAATTGATCCTAGTGCAGCAGTGAGGGTCGAGCTCTGACCACGGATGCCAGTCTAATTGACTCGCGCTCGACCTCCTCTCCCAGCCTTGTCGTAACGAACTCTTGTCATCAATTTGTGTCTCATCAATGAAGACACATTCACTTGCGATGAGCTCCTCCTTCAGCGGAAGGTCGCCAGCAGGAACTCGCACGCGGAAACACTTGCGATCGTACACACACCCCGCCAGGCTGCGTCAGCACAATCACTCGACCAACGGGCTTTATCGCATCGCACTCGTACTCACACATCTCACCCTCACAGCAATAGGACCAAGGCAGGCGCTTGTAGATCAAACTCTCAGGTGTCGGGGGCTGCACTGGGCGCAGCCACCAACACCCTCACGGGGACAGGAAGGTTGGGGACGACGACGTCGCCGTCGTCACTGCCACCACCACCGTCGTCGCGGCGGGCAAGCGCCAGGGATCCTCACTCCAACACAGAGCCGGCAATATCACACAGTCGCTGGTGGGGCCAGCTGCATTCCCCACCCACGGCCCCTTAAGAGGAGCCCCACAAAGGGACCATGTACACACCCGGGTGTGTACCATCTCTCACTACCCTCACCTTTGCGAGCCAGATGGATTTGAAGGGACTCTGTATTGGTGCCAATGGACAGAAATCAGATTGAAGAAAAAAAGGAAAAAGAGAAATGGCCCAAAAACAGAGAGAGAGAAAATTGACAAGTCAACCCCCCTGACTTGGAACATCCACCACAAATGCTCTAAGTCCCCCCCAACCCTATGCGTGTATGTACAAGTGCCGAAAATAAATAATAAATTAGGGGGCTTGGGGTACGGCCTGTCAGGCAACCCCTTCCCTAGGCAGTTGGGCAGTCTC